TCTCTCTATCTCTATCTCTCTCTCTCTATCTTTCTCTCTCTCTCTCTCTCTCTCTCTCTCTCTCTCTCTCTCTCTTTCTCTCTCTCACCTTGCATATTAACACGGCATGCATTATTATTCAAACTTAACATTTATAGACTGAAACAATAGGACGGCATTACTAGGTGCTCAAAGCTTTTTTTAATGTGTGTCTTGCTGTTTTGTTTTATTTTCTTCCCAAGGATACAACCCAGTGGGCAACCATTTATGAGCACAAAACGGACATTTATTGACTTTATCTTGGAAGCCTTAACTCAACTACCCTTTGCCCACCCTCCTCTCTCTCTCTCTCTCTCTCTCTCTCTCTCTCTCTCTCTCTCACACACACACACACACACACACACACACACACACACACACACACACACACACACACACAAAACACACAAAACACACACACACACTCCCTCTCACTCTCTATATTATATTTCTTTCTCATAGTCTGTATCTCTTTCCCCTTCTCTTTCTGTCTCCTTCTCTCTTTCTTTCTGATCTCTCTTTCTTCTCTCTCTCTCTCCGTCATTGTCTATCTATCGGTCTGTCTGTCTGTCTGTCTGTCTGTCTGTCTGTCTGTCTGTCTGTCTGTCTCTCCGGGTGTGATGCTTTGGCAAATAATGTATAACTAGATTTTACACCCACAATTTTACTTGAGTTCAATAGAGTTGAATTGTTTGTTGTTTGTTTTGTTCCACAATAGCATCTATTTACCCCACAGGTGGATGGCTAAAGAAGGGACTAAAACTTCTTTCCTTGTGGGGTTTTTTGTGTGTGCATTTTTTGCAAGTATACGTACGTGCCTGTATGTGTTTGGTCGAACGTGTTTGAAGAAGGAAGGAAAATCAAAAGTGTGTTTACACACATGTACTTGTAAGAGATGGGGAAGATGGATATGCGCTTGGGGTGTTTTTGTATATTATTGTGTTTACGTGAGTGTGCTTATGTTTGCCGAGAGCTGGTGATGCAGTGAAATGCTCACGAGGCGCTCTGCCGTGTGCGTGTATTTGTGTGTGTGTGTGTGTGTGTGTGTGTGTGTGGATGCTCGTGTGAGAGAGAGAGAGAGAGAGAGAGAGAGAGAGAGAGAGAGAGAGAGAGAGA